CGTTCCGATTGAGCCATTAGTCGGATTATTAACTGATTATTAGACTGCCTGTAAACATGGCTTGTGTGTGGCTATGAAGTAAATGGCCTAAAACCATATTAAACACACTCTACATACGAACCAAGTTTTGTTTAAATTGAGAGCTTGTCAACTACAGTATTTCATGATTATACGACCAAAAACTAAAGTTCTGGAATTAATGTAATATACAATGATGGGCTATTAAAAGTTCTGTATTCTGAAGTTCGGAAATTATACCTACCACTCATTATTAGCCAAAGTTTAAAAACAAACAACAAATGGCACGACCAGCACTAGTTTTTTCCTCAGCATACCTCAGTAGCTCTCAAAAGCCGCCACCGTCCACCACATCCTTTTTCTGTAATTTTGCACACTTGGGTGATTTTTCTCACGCCACCGTGTTTCACACTTTTTCTCTGAGAACATGGTTATATAAGTTATCTAGTGTCTTATCACTCACAGACATTTAGTTTTGATATCTTTAATGGTTACTATTGTTCTCTCAAAGTGTTCCTGAACACTGGTATTTTTAGTTCCATGCTTCGTTTATGAATGATGAACCTGCCTACTTAATAGGAGATATTAGATATGAAAATAAAATTAAGTTAACCTCTTAAACTGATAGCATTGCTCGTCAGTTGTTAATTTGTTGGTTAATGGTTAATTGGTTAATCGTTTCAATTCCTACTTGAAGAGCAGAATGTTTGTGGAAATGCCTGCATTTTATTCATTTTACTGCATTTGTAACTGTGTTTCTGTTTGCAGTAGAATTAAATGATCTATTACAGATAGGTCTAGTTCCGTTTTCCACATTTTATAGATTTTCGTGCATCAGTGTGAGTTTCGGCAGATATATACATGATAAATATCCCATATCTGCATTGGCCCACAATAACCACATTGTTGCAGGCCAGCTTTTATCTTCTTGTTGGTGTGTTTTTAATGTATTGCAATGCACATCGCAATATCAACGTATAGCAGTTTAATTGCAGTATCATGCACATGCAACCTGAAACACTTCACACATAATGTAGTGTCCCTGTCTTGAATGGATCTGACATCAACTCCTTGTTGTGGAGATCTGTTTGAAGGTTTTGTTCCATTTGGTGGATGTAAACCAACTTGCACTCACATAGACGCACACCTCCATGTTGGAGCTGCAGGGTTTTTTTTCCCTGGATGTCTGCATGGTTTGCGAATTTCAGATGTTTTTATTCCCAATCCTCTTCAGTGACGGAAAAAGACACACCAACGTCATGGTTCTTAGAGATGCAGGATTTACAGAAAGGCCTTGTTTATTTATAGACGCATATATTATTTATTACCTTGGGCCATATCTGTACATCTTTTTTAAGCATTTTTTTTCCCCTTTTATATTTTTTCTAGTCTTTTTTTCTTTCTTTCTTTCTTTCTTTCTTTCCCAGTTTCTTTTAAAGCAAACCCCTCAAGGGTATCAGCCATTGTCAAAGTGCAGTGTAAATTCACTACAAACATTCAACCCCATCTCCGCCCCCCTCCTTTGCATTGCCATGGCAACAGCCTGTTGCATAACTCCTCTCTGCAAAGTCTTGCCTGTCCGTCTCCGTGGAAACCATATCTCTCTCTCTCTCCCCTCTCTCTCGTTCTCTTTATCACTCTCTTTTCCATCTCGCTGACTTTTTTGTTCTTTTTTTTTCTTTTACCCTCCCCCTCCCTCGCTTTACACTTTTGCATCTCTCTCTCGCTCTCTCGCTCTCTCTCTCTCGCGCTCTCGCTCTCTCTCGCTCTCTCCCTCTCCCTCTCCCTCCCTCCCTTTATGTCTTTGGCTCTTCATTCTTGAGTGTGTGCAGTCGTGTTGACTGCAGTGGTTTGGAGTGCTAATCGCTAGGCTAACCCCAGGCTGTCCACTCCCAGCTGTAACAGTGGCAATGCCGAGTGCATCAGCTTCATGGCCTGCGTTTCTGTCCCTGTCAAGCTTTTAACATTGCAGTAAGCACTTCTCTTGGAGCTCAGTTACAATTTCATAGTATTAATCTATTTTCTGAAAACTGAAACCAGTTACTAAGTGTACAGTGGTCATTCCAAAATCTGTGATACCAAAATATGTTTAAGTTAACCGCATCTCCTGTCTGACCAGTGAAATCACCACATCTACAACTTGTACACTGTACACCACCTGTGTTGAATCTCTTAAAAATGTCAAGGACACACTTTTACCATGAAGTGCTTAAAAATGGATTTCGGCATAATGATGGCTGCTGCTACCGCTGCCGTTTTTAGTTATGCAACGTACTTTTGTCCATTATGTCCAGTGTGTCCTACAGCATCGGAAACCACATAACATGATTTGAAGCAAATGTGTAATAATAGGTTGAATAGAATGTTAATTGATGTACATAAACTTTCATTACTTGTTGGTTACATTGGCCTTATAGCTCTAGTCAAAACTAAACGAGCAAACCTCAGATGCCAAATATGTCTTGAGTTAAATTGAAATATCTGATGTTTTTCATGTACACATCTGTCAGTAAGATACATAAACTTTTATTTAAAATGTAAAACATATAAAAGCATATAAAACTACATTTATCTGGATTAGCATTATGGAGAAGTATAACGTTTAGTTCCATAGGCTTACAAATACAGTACAATGAACAAAATATCAATTTAGATATTAAATAGATATAATAGATAATGTTACCTAAGAATCATGGTCTTCCAAAGTTCACTAAAATACACCATCAAATATTGCTTTTATACCTCAGTCAAATCTAAACATCTGTCTGATGCCAATCATTTTTTTTAAAGCAGTTATCTTACAATGGCAAAATGAATCTAGCGTCAACCGTTCTAGTGTCAATTGTGTAAATTGAATTGTTTGCAAAAGTACTTCAACTCAAAGAAACAGAACTGATGGAATGATAGTGTGAAATGTTATGTCATGAGAAGCGAAGGCTCAGTCGTTCTTGAGAAGAGAAAATGTTTCTGCAGAGACCTGGATGACCCAGGAGGTCCTACCTGTGTCACCAGTAGTGAACACAATTTGTGCAGTTTAACAAGGCAATTAAAAAAAAAAGTGTAGTGCTTTTTCAGGTATGAACGTATGTATGTGTTTAGTAGTTTCATTTACCTTTTCTTTACATCTTTATCTGAAGGCTAATCACATGATCTTTAAACATTGTTGATGAGAACTGGTTTTTGTGCAAATTTGAAGAAACAAGTTGTGCGATGGTGCAGTGGAGGATGTATTTGTAAGCGAGACAGGAGAGAGAGAGGGAGTAGGATAAACGAAGACAGTGCTGAAAGAGGAGACGGAGCTGAAGGTCAGCTGTGATTGGGTGTTTGCGTGCTTCTCTTCTAGTTTACTGTCAATTTCAGAGTCTCTATGGCAACATAGTCTGAAGTATTTAGGCTGAAGTCTGCTGTGTGGTCCAACTATAATAACTCGTTTTAAAGGGCTAAATATTCAGATGGCCAGTAATATTAGCCAGTATAATTTAGTGTGGTCAAATTATTATAGGTATGGCATAACAGTGCATGATAATGTAACTAATACACCAGCTTTTGTTTAACAATGCAGTGCTTACTGGCTGATCTGAAACAAGTCCTGAAATATCGTTGGGATTTTTGCTGATAAAGATGAATCAGCTTTGGTTTCAGCTGGAATTACTGGCCAATTGGTACATCGGTTGAGTACTAATTTGCATCAAGCAGTTTTATTGTTGTTGTTATTATTATTAGTGTTATTATTGTTAATCTAGTAGTGAATTCTCCCAGTCCTTGCAAGTTCCTCACTTGTGTAACACAGCTCTTCTGGTGGTTTGGCAAAGAGGAGGAGGCTGTACATGCTTCCTCTGTGGCTTTTGAGGCCTACTGACACTGCCTACAGTTTTTCAGCACATCAGCCTGCAGCTCTGCAGAGTGTCTCGAGGGCCTCATCAGGCCCAGAGGAACGCTAAACACTTGTTCTGCCCCATCCTGTGGTCAACTATGTGTGCTGTAGTTGAGGATATAAATAGGATGTTTACTTTTTTCCATATTCCCTGGATTTTCGGTCACAAAAGAGTGCGTACACTCTGATGCTTTCAGTCATAAAATGATCAGTATTTCTTAGGGTTATAACAATTCATCATGACATCATGATATTGTATTCCACTGATCATGTGCGTTATGCTATCTAATGCAGTTGCATTGTTTGAACACCAAACGATCAGCACCAAACCAACAACTCCAGCACTTCCAGCTTTAATGTCATTAGAAAATTGAGCAGCAGCATGATTATAGTGATTATTTTTCTACGATCGAATTTTGTTTAAAATATTGTATGAATACTAAGTTGTTAACCCATTTTTATCAATTGTGCCTAACAGTCTTATTCCTTCTGTCGTTAATCCTCTATTTTTCTGTAGACACTTTTTTCCAGCTACTACAAATGATGATTAAACCTTCCTTTGGGTTATTGCTGCAAAATATGTTGTGTACATCCAGTCAAAGTAATGTTGACCAATGTTTTAAAGCACATTGCAGTATAAAATTTTGTCCATATTGTGTGGCCCTACTTGGAATAACTAAACATCATACCTTAAAATATAAATGTGTTAACTGTTTGTGTTCCTCTGAATCTTTTAAAACATCAGGTGTGGTCTCTGTTACGGCCCATGATTATGACTGGATTAATGGTGGTTCCGCAACAAGACCTCAATTTTAGGGGTGTGAACTGCATGCATTAATCAGAAAATGGTGATTCCAGTGCATCATTTTTGCAATAAGTTTAATTACAGAAAGCACTCATGTCTGGCCAAAATAATTGGCAATTATTAAACTTATTATTAAAACTATGCATTAGTATATTGTTTGTATTCTGACACATGTGAGTATTTTCACACCAATTTCCGTTGAATTGTTTCCTGAAGAATCACAATTATAATCGAATAGCTATAAAATCATCCTGATATTTACACCCTGACTAATTTTGTTTTTCTTTCTCATTCTCCCTCCAGTTCAGCATACGATCGGGATAATAAAGTGCGTGTGGCCATAAAGAAGATCAGTCCATTTGAACATCAGACGTACTGCCAGCGCACTCTCCGCGAGATTAAGATCCTGCTCCGCTTCAAACATGAGAACATCATTGGAATCAATGACATCATCCGTGCGCCCTCCATCGACCAGATGAAAGATGTGTATCCTTTTTTATGCCAGCCTGAGTTCAGGAAACACATGGGTTTTTGTGCCCCGTCCTCCTTTGCTTCAGAGCAGAACAAGAGTGTACACAGTACCAGTTACGCCATTATAGATTTTGCGCATTTTGAGCATTTTTTATTTTTTTTTTTACTATTATTTGTCTCAAACATCTTAAAAAAATCACTGGCACCTCACTCGCTTCAGTTAAGCTCCATGTCCTGACATGCATGCAGTGTCGTTTAGTGGAGCACATGCAAGTCAGAAATTATATCAGTATTTGTAATGCTGATTTTTAATACAGATACTGTATGTGTTTAAGTGCCATCAGCGCAACCTGTATTATCATATATTAACATATATTATCATGCAGCCACAGAATTTAGACAAGACATAATACTACAGTACAGTTTCTTCACTTTTAGTTTGTGCATAATGATGAGCTCTGATACTTTTTTGCTGCCTTTTTTTTAAATAATCATTTTATAATGTTTAATCATTGACCGATCTGATGATTTGGCTGCCTGTTGTTCTTGTTCTTGAAGATGATGTCCCCTTCAATATCGAAGCTCAACATTGATAGTCAGATTGGTCTCCTCAAATGTCCATATACATGCACTCAAAAGAGCCGTCCTAATCAGATTTCTCTGTCGTTTCTATCTAAGCACTCAAAACCTGCCTGATTTCAGAGAGCATTCATCATTTTAAGCAACCGTGTCTGTTTCAATCAATGTCTGAATGCTTGAGTTCAAAAGAAGAGTCTGACTTTTGGCTCTGAAACCCAGTTCTCTGTCTTGTACACAGCATAGTAGATGAGTAGGCAGCGGACACCATAGTAAAGAGTTAATTTTAGCTCGAAAATCAATAGTCAGTAGGCGTTCAGCGGGGTCACTGGCAGCCTCTTCAGTTCTGTACCGTCAGTGCCTCTCGAGCTACATGCACAGGCAGAAACGGCTTGGAACAGCACTAGGAGTTCCTCCCCCTTCCTCAACAGCTCCGCGTTGGGGTTTTTTGGCTGGATGCACACATCCAGAGTGTGGGATGGCAGCTGAAATGGCACGGATTGTGTGTAGAGCTGCCATGACAGCAGTCCCAATGTATTTTGTGAGATTGGTGGGCAGATTCTTTCAAAATGTGAGGTTATGGAAGCCTGCATTCATTTTTTAACCCACAAGAATCAAATTATGTCTTGATTTTTGTAGGCTAAGGAAAGCAAGCTAATAAGGATAGGCAATCTAATATATTTGTGTCATAATTGAAATTACTTCACAATGAGCCTTTTTTTTAATGCATATTGTAGATATGGTCTATACCTTAAGAACACTGGCCAACTGCATGTATCATTAAAAAGAGATTAACATGGAGCATAGTTGTATTCTGCATTCAGTATTATGCAGGTTCTGCATGTAGTCAAGAGATCAGAAGTTTGAGTCCTGATGATGCTGGGAGGCCAAGAGAGCATAACTGGTGCTGTTTAAATAGATGTAGTGGTAAGCTGTATGGAAAATGTTGGACAGTTTTTGACAGAATTTGTGCTGTACTGTTTTGTTTAGGCATCCAACTTATCAAAACCTAAAAATATGAAATATTGTGCTTTGTGTATAACATGAAGGCTGATATGAGCGGAAAATGCTGGAATGAATCCGAATCAATCCTGTAGCATATCTAGCCTGAACTGTTGTTGTCATGTTGTTTGCAATGTATTTTTTTCCTTTTTGTGTAAATGATGGCTTACTTTTAGATGCTCATTTTAAGTGCTTCCATTAAAAAATAGCTTATTTTATAGATTATTCGTTTTTAAAGGAAAATTATTGGATCAACATCAGCTGATACTCAAGGTTTTAGTGTGAGTATCAGTATCAGCCATTTCTAATAATGACACAACATTGTGGCACACCACTAAGTAGAACTGGATTTTGGATATAAACTGCTTCAAATCTGCATGTTTTTAAAAGTTAAAACAGTTAAAAAAGACTGAAAACAATAATGACACATCCTTGACACAAGCTCACTCCAGCTACATCGTACAGGACCTGATGGAGACTGACCTGTACAAACTGCTGAAGACTCAGCACCTAAGCAACGACCACATCTGCTACTTCCTGTACCAGATCCTGCGTGGGCTGAAGTACATCCACTCAGCCAACGTCCTCCACAGAGACCTGAAGCCCTCTAACCTGCTGCTTAACACCACCTGCGACCTCAAGGTGCACAAGACACATGCATGCTCACACCTCAACAATCTTGTTTGTGTCTTATTCATACGGTTCTGACCACACAATCTGATTGTGTTATGTGATACAAGTGTGGTGAAAAACATGTCGTTATCAACTGACCACCAGTTACTAAGCTGTGGGAACTACTTTTTTGGTGGAAGAAGTTATTAAAAACATATATTTGAAGCAGTGTTCTAAGATTGACTCTCTCTGTCATATTATATTGCTTTATTAAAGGGTTCATATCATGGGAAAAGAAATGGGAAATGACACTACAAAAACAGTCCACTTTGAACGTATTGTTTTTGTGAACACATTTACTCATATCCATCTTTTCAGCCTACAGCCGATTTGCCCCACCCATTCACACTGAAGTTATAAGGAGTGTTTTAGTCCAGACTTCTCTTGAGTGAGGCACAATACAGGGCAGCAGATCAAAACATACATATCAAAGTCTTCAAGGTTCAGTAACCAAAATAGCTTGTTTAAGATATAAGAGATAAAGAGAGGATGGAAAATGGTCATGCAAAAATTATGACAGTTTTTCCTACACACAACCACATAAACATCATAACTGGAGAAGAAAAGATAAAATACAAGAAATACATAAATATGTATTATATTATTTCTTAAGCACTTGAGACAACCTGAGTAACCTACTGATTTAATGAGTATGATTTCTAAACTCATTGTCTTAGATTACTGGTGACATTGTAAAGTGCTACTTGCGTAAATACTTATGTCTTCAACCTGTTTTTGCTTGCAGATCTGTGATTTTGGGCTCGCCCGTGTAGCAGACCCGGACCACGACCACACCGGGTTCCTCACAGAGTATGTAGCCACACGCTGGTACCGTGCACCGGAGATCATGCTCAACTCAAAGGTAAGATGCTTAAACAACAAGGATGATATCGAGAAATACTTTCTCATAGCTAGGGGTGGGTAATATGACAATATTTTATCATGACAAGTTATATCACTGCTGTCTGAGCATATCATGGGTATACTTAAAGAACACTGACCAACGGCATGTTTCATTACGAAGAGAGCATAATTAGTCCTGTTTAACTGGGATTAGTGCAGTACAGTGTATTTTACTAATTTTACTCATGGTTTTTAATAGAAGCCATGCATTTTATCTGTTCCAGAGTATTAAACTCTAGGAAAACTAACCATGGAGAGTTTATGTACCATGAAACTGCCTTTAAGTGTCAATATATTGTATTTTCGCTGTATCACCCAACCCTAGTCATTGCTAACTTATGTTGTGGGTAAAATTAGTGCTTTATTCTGATGAATCTTCTGTTCTGGATGTTTAAAGTTTATAGCAAATTCCTTAATTCCCTTTTAATTCAGTAGGGCTGCAACTGTCAGTTATGAGACTGGCACACTGCATTCAGCCATCAGGCCACTAGTCTGAAAAATGGATGCTGGACAAAGAAAATGGAGCTAAATATATAGAAAATAATTGCATTTAAACCACAGTCATACAATAGTGGTCAGAAAAATCACAATTAGAAAATTTCCCTAAATCATTTAGCCATGCACCAAACTTTGTGGGACATTTAGTCACAATTCCTTAAGTTGTCAGATACAGGGGAATTTAATTTTTATAGAAGGGCATAAAAGTTCTGCTTTATTTGAAAAGCAAGTACCAAAATTTGTCAGTTTAGCTCACTAAAAATGAGCCTTTTGGATTTGTTTAGCTCACTAAAAATATGGCCTGTTGAGAAAGTGACAGACAGAGTGAAACACACAGATCCTAGGGATACAATTTATCCAGGCAAAATTTAACTTATTTTAGGCCTCTCTTCTTGCTTACAGTTACAACAATTGTGATTTGTAGTCATCAAAGACATGTTTTCAGTTTCAATTTTCGAAGCATTTGAATTTCATTGGAAGTTGGAGGGGATATTTTGTATTGTTGCCCAAAACTAGTTTATTATGCTTTGTTTATAAACGTAAGGTCAGAGCCCAAATAGTTTACATTCGTCTCTCACAGGGTTATACCAAGTCTATTGACATCTGGTCAGTTGGATGCATTCTGGCGGAGATGCTCTCAAACAGACCCATTTTTCCTGGAAAGCACTACCTGGACCAGCTGAACCACATTTTAGGTAGGTTTTTTTTAGCTTTTAACATATAAAATGACTTGTCAAACCAGTTCACAAAGGGTTTCCTGAAATTCTTCCATGTTATGTTATTATTTTGATGAGCTCCACATATACTTTTGTTGTACTGATACACAGTCTTATGCAAAAGTTTGAACACCCCGGTCAAATTACGTTTTGTTGATTTTCAAAGTTAAAATAAGTTCTAATGCTCTACAGCGTATATTTGTAAATATGGCATTTTCTGCAAATCTTAGTGCATAATAAGTACTAATAAGTTTAACATTAACATAAGTTTAGCCTAATAAGTTTAACATATTGGGGAAAAAATGTGCCAGAACCTTTACACAGGTCATATTTTATGCTATATTTTTCCTTTATGTTAAATTCAGCAAATAAATAGTTATTGAACATTAAATTTGCAGATGTTTGTACTCTGTAGAGAACATATTAACTTCACTGTGCAGCCCTTACAGTAGGGATGGGCAGTATTACCATATGTTATTACTGTTATAAATTACATCACAATGTGCTTTGCTGTGTCCTTCTACAACAATAAACAATGACATGTATCATAACAAAATACAGATTTAGACCAAATACAACAAGCTTTTATATATCAAACTGTGTACAGTAACTGCTTAAATTACACTCTGATTGGATGTCAGTTCATTATGGCATTTTACTCATTTTAACCAGATGTGCTAATGTTCTACTGTTCAACACGGAATAAAAAACATACTCATGGTTTTTAAAAGCCCTTTTTGATGTGACATTACTGTTTTTGTTGGGGCATTTTGTATCATTTCAACTTGCAGATGTTCGTATAGCTTTTGTTTGTGATAATTCATGTAAGAAGAAGAGGAAAATGAGAATTCTGCAGTGCGCAGGATATCTGCCCTAGGTCTGAAAGGAGATACCTCAAGGTCAGATATGCGCAGCAGGAGTCAGATCAGCGTTTGATGTTTATCGGCAGAAAAGCTGAATTGTCGTTTCCTGTGAAGATAGTGGAAGCATGTCAGCTAGCAGTTGTTTTGGTCTCACTGGTCGAGCTTCTTGTTCGCCTAGTGCTTCGGCTTACCGTGCGGCTTCCTGCCTGTGATGCTGTTGATTGAGCGCTTGCTGTCCGTTAAGGAAACGGTTCTGGCTTCTGTGGACTTCTGTTTTTTACCATCTGGTCAGCATGATTACACCGAAGAAAAGTGAATTTCAGTGGGTGGGTCGATATTTGAGTTCCACTTGGCACGTGCTGAGTAATAATGGTTTATGAGTGCAAGAGAGCTACTCTAGACGACCTCTATAGACATTTTTGATCCCAAATCAATGAAGTTCAACCAACCTGGGCAGTATTTGCAAGGGCTCACATTTTTTGACCAATCGCTGCTCTATTTTTTTGCCATAAATATGTAAATCGTGGAAGTGCTCTCACAATTCTTGGAAGTGTACAGCTTTTTTGCTATGCTGCTGGGAAGCCATGGAGATAGCAGAGATCACCTTTGGAAGTATTTCAGCTAAAGACAAGGTGAACCCATTCCTTGAATGTTTTACTTGAAAGCTGGATAGAAACATTTTGCATTATTGCAACATTACATCAAATGAAGTCAAGTCAAAGTTTATTTATATAGTGCTTTTTACAACAGGCATTGTAACAAAGCAGCTTTACAGAAAAATCCAGGTTCAAGCCCCCATGAGCAAGCCAGTGGCGACAGTGGCGCGGAAAACTTCCTAAAAGCAAGAGGAAGAACGCTTGAGACCAAGGCTCAAAAGGGGAACCCGTCCTCCTCTGGTTGACACCGAATAGCAAAACTATAAGACAAGCGATATGAACAGAGAAGAAGGTTTTACCATTAGTGTAAAATACTAAAATACAGAAAAGAGGAAAAGCAGGTGAAGCAGGGGCTGTGATTAAATAGTTTGAGTTTGTGCAGCAGCAGGATCATCAGGATGGTCAGTTCATGCAGGTAAGGTTTGCACAGCGTTGTGCAGCAGAAAGCTCCATGCTGGTCGAACCAAAAGGCGGGCGAGCAGTGGACACCCAGTCAGGGCGGATGAAGCAATAGCATCAGACCACACAAGATGGGAAGTTATTCAGCTCATACAGGCAGTTAGCTCTATTGAAAGACTCATTACAGTATACAGTGTAACAGAGTGTGGCAGGTCTAGCTATTATAGCCTATCTAAAAGGGAGAACCCCTCCTCTCCCCCCTCAACAAGCTTGAATGAGCATGACGGCACCAACACTCCCTGTTTGCTATAATACTCTATGTACATGAACCCCCAGATCTGCACCTTTTACCTAATGGGAAAAGCTAATTACCAAAGGCTTGACCAAACAAGCAGGATTTAGCCTAGACTTAAAGTCCCAAACACTGACTGGAAGGTTATTCCACCACTGGGGGCTTTGTATGAGAAGGCTCTCCCCTCTTATGTAACTTTATTCTAGGTACTAACTTTATTCTAGGTACTAAGTAAGCCAGCACCTTGTGATCTAAGAGGGCATGACTGTTCATAATAAGAGAGAAGTTCACTCAGGTGCTGAGGGCCGAGTCTGTTTAGAGCTTTGTATGTCAGTAAAAGAATTTTATGCTCAATGCAGAGTTGTAGGTTTGATAAAACTGGGCTGATGTGGTCACTTTGTAGTTGTTGTAATGACTCTGCATTCTGGACTAACTCAAGCTTGTTGAGGCTTTTACTGGAACATCCAGACAGCAGGGCATTACAGTAATCCAGCCTTGAAGTAATAAATGCATGAACTAGCTTTTCTGCATCCTGTAGAGATAATGCATTTCTTAATTTGTCAGTGCTGTGGAGATGCAGGAAAGCTATTTTAGTAATATTGGTTATATGTGCATCGAAGGACAGATCGGGATCGATCATGGCACCAAGGTTTTTTTTTTTAACAGATGTACCTGATGCAACTGAGAAGCTATTCAGTTTAAGCATTAGATTAGACTGTTTATAGCAGCTTTTGGACCAAGAAGAAAAACCTCTGTTTTGTCTGAGTTGAGTAGGAGGAAGTTACTCAACATCCAGTCTTTGTCTTTCACACAGTCCTCAACCTTAAGTTGAAGTTTATCATCTGGTTTTGTCGATGTATGCAACTGTGCATCACCAGCAGAACATCAGCAGAATATCTTACAGATACTTTGCTGTTTACATTCACAAACTGATAGCAATCAGTCAGCTAAGATATGAACCAGGAAAGAGCTATTCCTGTTATTCCTGTTAAGGTTTTTTAGCCTATCTTCTAAGATCCACTCGAAGATCAAGCAGAACCAGCAAAGATATATTTCCATGGTTGGAGAATAATAAGAGATTGTTTACAGTTTTCGCTAGTGCTGTTTCTGTCCTATGAGGATAGATCCAGAGTGATTTTTTCCATCTGTGGGATTCCTATTCAAATAGAAACTTAGTTGTGTGCCACAGATTTTTCCAAAGTCTTTGAAATATACTTCTAGTTTAGTCAGGCTCCATTCACACTCTAGTTGTCTGACAGTCTGTTAAAACGCTTGATTATGATTATTGTACCATGGCACAAGCTTTTTTTTTACCTTATTCTTTTTACTTTTTTAATGGAGCCACATAATCTAGAGTAGAACATAAAGTATCGTCTGCGCACTCAGTCATAATCTACTTCAGTAGGTTCAGATGAACAGCTGATAGAGGCTGATAGATCTGGGAGGTTTCTGATAAAGCTACCAGCTGTAGAGGATGTTATAATGTGCTTAACACGATAGCATGGCAGTGAACATGTATTAACGACTAAAGCGAAGTTCATATGAGATTAGGTAATGATCTGAGACTGCTGTGCTCTGAGAGAGAATGGCTAAGTGATACGTTTACACCAAAGGTCAAAATTAAGTCAAGAGTGTCGTTGCAGTAATGTGCGGGCCTCTTTTTTAGAGTGAAACCAATAGAGTTTTACGACAGATTCAAATGCCTTACTTGGTGGATCCTGTGGTTTGTCAAAGTGGATATTAAAATCTGAGACAATTATTTCTTTATTTGAGAGCATTATTAAACTTGATAGATGGCAGTTGATTCGGGGAACAGACACAGTCTCAATTGGGTGGGACCTATGTAGCCTCTCAACTGTAGTTGGTTCAGCCTGTTTGTCTGCTGCCTGCCCTTGGCCCTGGTTTGTCCATGACTGACTTTCCTACACTGTGTATCTGGCTATCTGAGAGACTAAATGCTATGCTACAGGAAATGAGAGCAGCACCCTCCTGCGAGGGGTGAATACTGTCCCGACTCAAAAGACCAAGATTGCCCTTAAAAGTAGACCAATTATCTGTAAAGTCCACATTGTTTTCTGAGCACCACTTGGACAACCGGCAGTTCAGTGACTATATCCTGCTGTAGATTTTGGCACCTTGTTGAACTGGGATGGGGCCAGAGCATATTACGGCAATAGACGTTATCTGGGCTAATTTACACACCTCTTTAATGTTATCTTTAGTTATTTCTGACTGCAGCAGACAAACGTCATTAGCACCTGCATGAATGCTTATCCTTGAATATCTACGCCTAGTTTGCAGCTTCAGGTTCCCTCGAATGTCAGGCACCTTGGCTCCTGGTGTACAGCTAATTACTAACGTTACTGGCGCCCCTAAAGGAGAAGCTGTTTTTACATGCCGTCAAATATAGTCACCTATAACCAAACTCAAAAGACGTCTCAGAGGGTGTCTCGCTGAGTGGGGCAAAACTGTTGGACATGTGAATGGGAAAGGAGTGGCGCTTGCGTGGGGAAGGTTTAGCATTAGCTTTAGCTTTAGCTTTGCGACTGTGCTGCCGAGACGCCACCCATTTGTCCCACTGTGAGGGCTCTGCTGCCACAGGTGAGTGCGTACTAACTTTCCCTGAGGCAGCCAGAGCTTCTAACAGCAAGTCTGAGCCCTGCTGACAAGCCCTGCTCTTTTCTAATTTCCGGATAAACATCTCTAACTGTACAATCTTATCCATTCTCACGAACAAAGCTAGTAATGCTGCTGTCACTGGTGACAGTGAAAGAGGCACAGCTGAACATGCTGCACTCAGGGCAAAGCAACAGCTCGTGGTCTGCCATATTGATACTTGGTCTGCTTTTCAGCTGAATTGAGTCCTTTCCAGGTGTCTTGTGAATCCAATGAGAGAAAAAAAGTAACCTCTAAAAGTCAGTGCTTGTAATTAATTGCGAGCAATATATAACAACTACTTGAAAATGAATGACTTCGAAAAGCAGGAACTGTTTTTCTTTCTACATTAGTGTGGACCACAAATAAAAGTGGACAATTTGATTCCCGTTTTTCCATGATAAGCCAATTTTTTTGCTCTTATGGCCGAAAAACATGTTCAAACTAGTTCAGTTTAGTGTCAGAAAGTTTGGGAGTACTTTGCGCTACATTTTCTCATTTTTCCTGAATGTTTGATTGTAGAGTTATGGAGCTCACTCATTTTGTTTACAGGTAGTTTCATTTACATTTCAATGGAAAATATTAAAAAGACCTTTTTTTTAATCTGGATTTTCTTTGTTCTTAGTTGTACACAGTAATTTCCACATACTGTTATAAAATATTCTAAAGAAAATGACATTAACAAAGGAAAAAAAAATCAGAGATAAAGTAGATACAAACAAGCCAGTGTGAAAAGAGATGAATGTCAACATGTACATGATCAGAGGAAACAAAAAAAATCAACTGTTGTTTACTGTATATTGTAGAATAATATGAATATATGAACAGTTTTACAAAGATGCATTATGGTACTGAGTACAATCGAGCAATAGAGTTGCTGGCCTGGTTCTGTTACATTTAGTAATCTCTTTAGAGGGAGGTGCAGAGCTTGATAGACAGATAGTTTTATAGTTTTTCTGAATCTTTAAAAGTTTACCAGCCTTTTCTAGTTTAGTTTTTTAGAATCTGTGAATAGCTATACATTTTTTTTTTTGTTCTTGTTAAGTTCATTAGATTCAAGACTCAACTACTTGTCAAATAATCAGCAGATTACTCAGTTATACCGATGGTGGTGGCCTGAATTCAGCATTGATCAAATCCTTTGTGTAGAACCATGTACTATAGCTGCTGTCGCTGTCACACATACACACTGTGCAAGGCCTGGTTTTGAATGACCTTAAGGAGCAGATGTTTCCCTGTTGATAACCACCTCATTTCCTCATTCGGCTTGTCTGGGTGTGTCATTACGTGTGTAAAATGGGCCATTGTAGTGCCATCTCTCCCTAACAGCCCCTGAAACTGGGAAATGGCACGAGTGCTGTGCTGGAAAATCGCATGTCTGCTCCTGTGTTATGAATGGACTCTCATAGCAGATAACATTGATGACTGTATCTTGCATCACAGTAGTCTGCTTTAGACTAGAGCCTGATCGATATGGGGTTTTTGTTTGTTTGCTTTTTTGTCACCGATATCGATTTCATGAATCTACGAATTCAGACAACCAGTAATAGCAACTAATGTCATTTTATAGTATCGTATCAGATATTGGGCTCCAGTATTTTAGTTAATTGGCTCTTATGTTGTTTTTCATGAGTTCTCACAAACATTTTGTGTTAGGACGTATTATCCTCTTGCTGAAGGTTAGGTTTAGATACATTTGGATACCTGTTTTGGGTTTGTTTTTTCCCTCCTCTTATTTTAAGCGTGTTTTGTGTTCGCGTTTTCTAGATTAGCCCATACTGTTTTCATAACAGTAAAAACTCAACTCATAGCTTAGTAGTCTTTTTAAAGGTTGATATAAACCAAGAAACCCTTGGCCCGTGACTCTTGACACCGTACACTTATCACAGACTGCAACGCAGATTTAACAACACACATGTAGTGAGCGGTTACAAACTATAAAGAGCAGCGGTTCATGGACAAGAGATTGAAAGACCACCTATGTAAGGAATTTCTTTGCACTTTATTTGAAGGCAGAGCAGTATGCCTAGTATGTAAAGAAGCCATTGGATTTTTTTAAAGAATACAGTCTTGTGTGAAAACATAAAGCTAACGAGTTGCTAGTTGTTTTGCCTCTTTGGTCCGTGGCCCAGTACAAAGGTAATACTTCACTTTAGGCACCCAAGAATTAAATAATCAGAGCGGTTTACTAATTTCATTTACTAATTTACCTATTCATTATATAATTTTTCAAACTACTTACAAATGTGTTTGTTGTAGTATTTTTACCAGTACCAGTAAATTTGTTTAAACTTGTTGGCCAATTTTATCAGCCAAAGGATGTATTGGATGACCCATACTTTAGACATACGCTTCCACTGAAACCAGTGGGAGAACATCTTTGTGGGTGCACATTTTGTATTGTGGGCTTCTGGTTTTAGCACAAGTAGTTGTGACTAACTGCAGTGTTAGATGGAGGTGTTATCTTCATATTTACAGAGATGATGTTGCTACTGTTCTCTGAGGAAATCTTTTAAAAAGTTATGCAACGAAGCTCTGAATCTCAGGAAACAGAATGGAGAAGCTCTAGCTAATTTTATGTTGGCTGGGCTGTCAGTCAAATGATGCAATAATAGCACATCTTTCTGCTGGTTTCCCCTCCATTTGTCTCTCTAACGTCGTTCTTCTTCCCTGTCTGCCCCCTCTCCCCCACACCATGGTTTCCCTTATACTCTTTCTCCTTCACTTATTGTTCCCTCATTTGTTTGTTTATTTTGATCCATTTTTCTTTTCTCCATCTCCTCCTCCTTTTAGGCATCCTTGGCTCTCCCTCACAGGAGGATCTGAACTGCATCATTAACATTAAGGCCAGGAATTACCTGCTGTCTCTGCCGCTGCGCTGCAAAGTGCCCTGGAACCGCCTCTTCCCTAATGCCGACCCTAAAGGTAAGTGTTCACCTCCACCTCTCTGATGGACGTGCCCAAACAAGGAGGGTGCGTTTTTTTCAGGTTTAATATTTCAGAGCCCCTGTTTATTAAAGCATCCCTTAAATGCGTCAGGAACACAGCTGCAGGAGAATGTCTCTCAGCTAGGCTATCTTAGGATCCACCTTGGCTCATTGTTCCTGAAATGCTACTCATTGACATCCTCCATATGAAAAGGATAAGAATAGGAGAAAATATACAGTACTGTGCAAAAGTTTTAGGAACCTGAGAAAATGAGATTTAAAAAAATTTGAAAAATAGCCATTTTATTTGCCTAGAAAAACACCTAATGTTACAATAAATACAAATAATAGTAATGCAGTAAGTAGAGAGTTGTTTGTCAGTGTGTTTGTTTAACCATTTCCATGGCAGCCCACATTTGATTGTAGTTCTCATGCAATACCTGGTTTGACTAATCAATACTTAAATTAAGTATGCTGGTGGTAGAATTCAACCAATTTTTACGGAGGCTGTGAGCTTTGAGGAGAAATCTGGAGCAAACTTTGTTCTTCAGACTAGCTCACAAAACATCAACTACTTTTAGAAAAAACTAAATTCTTGTTACCTTTTACTGTGTTTATGTTTATTTGCATTCTAATGATATATGATGTTTTTACAAGTCAAAACACACTCACTGCCTAGATAAATGATTTTAAATAATGTGCTTAGCTGCCTAAGACTTTTGCACAGAACTGTAGTTTATGTCCTTCATACCCGTGACAAATTAAAATCTAGTTCATTTGAATTTTTATTCAGATTTCTATAAGAAAACTCAATTAACAAATCAAGTGTAATAAAGTACAGTAATACATTTCATCTAGTTTTTGTATGAACTGTTTTTGACCCTGTGCTTTTTGGCCTGCAGCCTTGGACCTGTTGGATAAGATGTTGACCTTTAACCCCCATAAGAGGATTGAGGTGGAGGAGGCCCTGGCCCATCCTTACCTGGAGCAGTACTATGACCCAACTGATGAGGTGAGCTCAGCTCTGGCAAGAAGCAGCCAAAAGATGATCAAACTGTGTCTAGACTTGAGTCTAACTTCCAAAACCATGTTCTGCCCGCTGTGGATATTAATAAAGCTTTCGTCCACAAACAGCTTCTCTTATCTTGACGTGGCACAATGCAGACAGCATCAATCACTAATGACCAGCATGACCATATGTTTAGTCTGTTTGTTAGACTATTGAAAAGTGTGTTATTAATTGTTTAAACGTTGTGTTTGTTGACCAGCCGGTTGCTGAGGCTCCGTTTAAATTTGACATGGAGCTGGATGACCTGCCCAAAGAGACTCTAAAGGAGCTGATCTTTGAAGAAACGGCACGTTTCCAGCCAGGCTACAGAGCATAACCTACTACAGGTACAGTACATCGGACACATTTACAGCACAATTGCACTAAGAAAATTGTACCTAGTTACCACATTGCCAAGCACTGTCTTAAACAGTCAACCCCCTAAAATCCAAAAGCCTGTATGATGCCCGCAATACAATTTTCTACTTTCATAAGTACAAAATGTACATATTAGTTATATAGTACTTACTGAATAATTTATAGTAGATACTGAGTGACAAGACTTAAGATTTATAACTGAATATGAAGCTGCAGTTTAAGGGATTCATTTTATTCCCTTTGCTTGGAGGGTGTTGTTAACCCAGTCATGTCCAATAACTAAACATAGTGTGATAAGGTGTTAGAAAGAGCTTGCTGTGATTGGTCATCTTAGTCAGTATTTATTAGCAATTCTTAGGTCACCATACACCACAAATACTACTACTACTACTACTACTACTACTACTACTACTAATTATTATTTTTATTATTATTATTATTATTAGTAGTAGTTGTAGTAGTTGTAGTAGTAGTAGTAGTAGTAGTAGTAGTAGTAGTAGTATAAATATTTTAGTGCTCAATGGAATCAAGAAAACTTACATTAAATTGTAGAATTATATGAGTATGAATTATATTGTGACTCTTACTGTGATACACACTTAAAAGAAGGTTCTTCAACGATTCTTTAGTACCTTGCATGATTAAAGGTTTCTTTGCAACATGAAAGAGTTCTCCAGATTGATGGAGAATGTGCTTTAGATGGTGCTTTAATCAGCCTGTAATCACGCAGAGGGTTCTTTGAGTGTTCATGGATCTATATAGAACTATTTTCTTTATGAAAGAACCCTTGAAGAACCATTTTTTAAAGAGTGTAGCATTCGTGTTCATGCTACACCCGAATTAAGCTATTGCAAAAGTAGGGAGACTAATTTGACATTCTCAGTGGATTCATTTAATAATTCCATTCATTGTTATTTCTAACATGCTGTATCTACAGCTACGTCATAAATGGATCCACAGAGGCAGATTTATCCGAATATTGTTTTAAATTACAATAATAGCTAAGTTATGTCTGCTCAGTGTGCATCATTCTTGGTGCATCAGGTTTTCGTTTGAATGGTTCAGCTTGCATGCATCACACTATTCTTGCACTAAAAACATAAACAACGGTCTAAAATGATTTTATATAGCTTATGTAGCCAGAGTCTGGTGGGTAAAGCAGATCTACTAGTAAGTAAATATTTAGCTGCAGAAAAGAGAAAAAAATACTTACGGGCTGGATTTAAGGATAAATTGTAAATATGTGACAGTACATATGTGATGAGGCTTTAAAGTCTAAAGTGATCACATTTTTCAGTACCTGTTTTTAACTTTACTTCATTTCAACCTTTTATCAAATTTGAATTTTCTGTTATTAAATGTCAGTAGTCCTATATGAATTTAATGGGATAAGAGATTAAAATGGACTACTTGCCCATATGGTTTGATTAATTTGAAAAATTTCAGGCTCAGAAAATAAATGGCCAAAAGGAAATTTAAAATGTCCAGTATGGACATTACTGAATTAATAGTATGTTAAGTACAGTAATAAAGGGGCTTATCTTGTTTTCTGCCTTTTGTAGATGTGGCTCTGGACTTGATCGTGCTGGCGCTTCTGTCTCTTCTCAGTCTTCATCATCATCATCATCCTCTTCTTGCTGAACCCCAGAACTACAGTCAGTTATCAGAATCATCACCTCCTTTTCAACCCCTAAACCACCATCAGGAGATGGAGTCCTTGTTACCCCCCTCCTTTCTCACGCTCATTATTCTTTCCCCTTGTATCTTGTAAGATTTGAGTTTAAAAAGAAGGGCGTGTACGTGAGGAGGAGGAAGAGGATAGAGTACAAGCTGACCAGAGGATCGCGGAGGGTTTTTGCTTCAGACTAACCCTCGGCCCTGGTCACGTTTTGTCTTATGCTTCAGTAAAAGTCTGTGATTGTGTAACTGCTGTGCTTTCTTCTATTCTAAGCTTCATGTCAATCTTACTCCTATGAAACTGCTTTTCTGTAAAGCGTCTGTAAAGCCATTTCTTAAGTCCCTTTGAGGCCAAACCTAAAGCAGGGAGAGACTGAGGGCTCTGACCTCTGTTACCGTTGCATATATGCAGTGGACACACATTTATTCACAGGGTGCGTCTCGAATTTCCTCAAAGCGCACACGTCTCAATTTGCCAAGGTGCCATTTTTTTAGGCTTTTAATTAACTTCTCTACCAACCTCTACAAACCTGCACTCGTACAAGTTAACAGGTACACGCCACGTGCTCCTCGAATTGAGCTGAAAATGTTTTTATTTCTTTTCTTAATGTATTACTGTTTCTTAGCATGTTGTAGAAGTTCCTGCATGATGCACAATTCTAGCTGTGTCCGGGCTATCGAAAGGCAACTTGTACTGCATTACAGCATTGACTTGTCTAAAGAATTAGATTAGATTAGATTAGATTAACACAGCCTTGTAAAATCCTCAGTCATGTCGATCTAGATTGGTAGAAAAACAAATCTCATGAACTCAAGCACCAAAGAAATGACTGCTTTGAGGTTATTTTGGCACCTTGGAGAAATGTGTACCATATGTGTCCATATTGTTAATAGTGATAGACTTATAAGGCAGGGCATTGCCTTAGCTGCCTATAGAGTGCTGGTCAGGGGAAAGTTCCAGGGTGGAGGTCAGCTCTGAATCAAGTGCTTCTGGTGGAAAAGAAGCGCACAGGGCTTTTGGGGAAGGGTTGGGATGGGAGGGTGTCAGACTTTTCAAGGATAATTTGTGGCTTCATCTGGCCACGTAAAAAGTTATTACTGAAACACTTGCGACCTAAAGTACAGTGCCTCCTTGTTTGTTTTCTCTTTTTCTGGTATATCTTTGTCGCTCTCTCTCGCTTTCTCTTCTTCCATTGTGTCCCCCCTTCCCCTCTGTTTCTCTTGCCTTCTATCAATAAGACTGTGTCCTTGCATGACTGTTAAAAAAGCTTTCTATACAAAGAAAATGGAAGTGCCACACTGCTGGGGATTCCGCATTGGGACTCTCAGGTTTTTTGTTATATCCGACCTTTCCTGTTCCCACATTTACTATATAGTATAAGATGCTACTTTTCTCTCCTTTAGTAGTGTTTTTTTTTCTTCTTCTTCTTTCCTCAATTCGCTTGTACATTTTGAATGCACATGTTTTTCAAGCCAGGTTCCTTTTAGCATACAACGAACTATTTTGGAGATTTTTCAAAGAAAAAAAAAAAAAACAACAACAACAAACTCAGCCGGAAGAATCTTGATGTCAGGTTAAGTTGTAAAAGAGGACAGCTTGAAGTTGACGGCCTCTAGCCATGTAGGTGTTCACTACAGGAAAACACAACCAACCTCCCATTTTACTAAATGCCAATCAACGCTGTGCTTTCTTGCTTACAGTGAGCGAATTACATGGTTGCATCAGGAGACGATGACGAACTAGGCTTGGCAGTAAGTGAACGAGACGCAGTAACTTTGTGCCACCTAAAGAGCAAAACAGCACTTATTGATGAACTGTTGGTATGGGAATCTATCAGGTAGCATTGGGAGATAACATGATGGGAAAGAGACAGATTTTAAGCTGTCTGCATCTTTAAGGCTTGAGCACCATGTTCCTCTCTTACTGGACTTGCTCTTTGGTGCATTGACCCTTTGCTGCTGTTGCCTAAATATACAGCCAGCATGGTGCCATCTAGTGGCAGTTTGGCAGGTGCTGAACAGGATGTCGGTGTAGTTGAGCGGAGAACGGGCTGTTTTTCCCTGAAAAGCACTGCAAAACCCTGTAAGATAGCTTCAGCCAAGTCTGTGTGCAGCATGTCTGTTCTGTGTGCCTTTACTCATCATGAATAACGGTTTATTGTGCAGCTTTGTTTCGTCTGGGATCAGTTGTGATTTTTGCGGTATATTCTTAAATACATATATATAAATCTATATTTAAAAAAAATACAGTAAAACCAACAAAAATATATATCTTAACTCTGTTGATTTATGTAATTTTAAGTCCTATTTGCCACAGCTTTTGTGATTTTTGTGATTTGAATTTTGAGAAGGTGAAAAAGGCTTTATTTCTGCCTCTTGATTTGAACTCCACCACCCCAACCCCCCCCCATCTGTTTTTCCTTTTTGAATGTTTTGTGCAAGACTATTGTAAAATGAATGTCATGTTTCTAGTGGTTATTAATCTTGTAATTGTTTCCATGTGTTAAACTCCTCTGTAAAGAACGTTCTAATCAACGGATTACTTTTGTTGTGGATTTCACTTACAAGTTTAACATCTGCCCCTTGACCTTCACTTGAGTGTATTTTTTGGGGTGTGGATGTAATCGTTTTATGGGGGAAACATTATAATTGAACATTAAAACATTTGAAATGTGTTGCACCTTGAAAAAAAGTGATTATTACAGAGGTTTGTCTTTGCTGCGGATGGACAGCCTTTTTTATTACCAATTATTACCATTATTTGAGTTAATTTTGCATCTGCCAAGTTATGTAACCTAGACGCACCAGAATAAACACTGTATCCTATTTTGTTTCTTAGTCGCTTTATTATTTGATGCATTGCAATATATGAATTGTTTAGCACAAAGCTAAACAGGTTTTACAACTTAATACCCACAGCCTAAGCTACTTTACTATTTTAAAGGGCCCATATTTTTTTTCTTGTATTTAAGGTCCATTTATGACATTTGATTACTTATATGTACCAAAAATAGTCTGGGAAATGAATATTTTCAGCCTCTTTTTATCCTTTAGAATTAAACAGGCTGTTTTAGTTACTGTGGCTTTAAGACTAATCTATGTTAACCAGCTTTGTTCTGATTGGCTGGCCTGTATTGTGCCTCTTTCAGTAAGCAGTTCGGGCTGAAGCGCACCTTAAAACTTCAGCCTGAATGGGCGGAGTGTGATATTTATGAAGGCATAATAGACGGTTATACAGCGGGTTCCAAAAGCGCAAGATCACATTTAAAGTCTAGAAAAAACTATTAAAAGTATTAAAATCAAAAATAAATAAATATTACATATATATCTCTTACTTATCTCTTACTTTGAAGCTTGTGTAGTCCGTGCCAGCTTGAGTGCACACTGTCATCAAAGAAAAAGGAGAACATACCAATTAATTAGTAAGCAATAATGAAATTCCTGTTAAAATTTCAAAGCTTCTACTTTTCACTCACATTGTTAAGTTGATAAAAATGATTTGTGATAAAAAACCTTGTATCAAATTAGAAAATAATGCAAAACAGAAGAATTTGCAAAAGTGGTCTCAGACTTCTGGATACCGTTGTGTATGTAACTGTTTTCTGACATCACAAAAACAACGGGCCTTATTCACCAACCGTTCTTAAAAAGAAGTTTCTTCTTAAAACCCATTTATGCAGTTTTCACAAAGATTCTGACATTCACCAGTGTTCTGATTTGGGATTTGTTCTTAGGTAAGAAAAGAATCTACACACTCAGAAGCACAAAGGTGAGAACAGTTGTGTTTTAAGAACACGTCATGAATCTGACGTAGACTTTTTCTTAGAACCTTTCTCAAGAACACTCTTAAGAAAAGACTTAAGATATTGGTGAACGAGGTCCAGTGACTTTAAAATGAGCAGCGTAGTTTCCACATTTGGACTGGGGGAACTCTTAATTTCAAAAACTGATATTGGCCCTTTAGATGCACTCTATATGGTTGTGTTGCGGTCCTCCACTCCGCTGGACTGCGTGGCCTGCCTCTGGTCAGAGAGAGATGGGGGGAGTGTGAAGGAGGGACGTTGTGAAGGAGGAGGATGATGTCATAATGGCTCTAAACTAATTTGCTCGTTAAGGCCACTGCTCCTGGAGACCTGTTGCCATGGGAGCCTGTTGTCCTTGACGACTGATGGCAACAACATGGGCGGCAGAGAGACAAGGAGATTAAAGCACTGGGAGGTGTAGCTGATCTACCATGCGTTATAATTAGACAACACTCAGCTGCTGACCCATAGACTCGGAATGGGAGACATTAATATAGTTCGATATTAATCATCCGAGGTGAGAAATCTTAACGAATCAGTGGAATCCTGCTCACATTTATACGATGCATTGTAATGAATGATACATAAAAGGTCAGACTTGATATGATACCGCATCACTTCAGAGGCAGAATCAGAATATTGTTATTAAGCCTACTTAGTAATATATGAGTTATAAATATGCAATCAACACTTTCAAAGTACATTATATTTCAATCGGAAAAATGTAAGTGGTCTTTAACAGAATAATTATTAAAATCGTGTACAATACCATTAAAGTACTATTATACTTAGCGCATACAGCGCTGTGAAAAAGTATTTGCCCTCCTCCCAGTTTCTTCTTTTTTTGCACATCTGTCACACTTGAATGTTTCAGTTCATCAAACTACTTTTAATATTAGACAACAATAACCCAAGTGAACACAAACTGCTGTTTAGTAAATGATGATTTCATTTATTGAAGGAAAAACACTGTTCAGCCCTGTTTGGCCCTATGTGAAAAAATAATTGCCCCCTTAGCTACTAAATCAACCAGTTAACCAAATTGACTATTGGGTTTAATTTCACAAGCCACATCCAGGCATGATTACTGGCAGACCTGTTGAATCTAATCATCATTTTAATAGAACCTGTCAGGCATTGTGAAGCTGACTAAAGGTCTCAAAATGCAGCACATGATACCACGTTCTAAAGAGATTTAAATACAGATGCCAAACAAAGTAATTGAAATCTACCAGTCTGGACAGGGATGCAAAGCCATTGTTAAGGCTCTGGGACTCCAGCGAACCACAGTTAGAGCCATTTTCCACAAATGGAGAAAACCTAGAACAGTGGTGAACCCTCTCAGGAGTGGCCGGCCTACCAAAATTTCACCAAGAGCGCATCAACAACTTAGGAGGTCACATAAAAAGGACGAACATCTAAAGAACTGCAGGCCTCACTTGCCTCAGTTGAGGTCAGTGCACACGATTCCACAGTAAGAAAGACACAGCGCAAAAATGGCATCCATGAGAGAGTTGCAAGGCACAAACCACTGCTGACCAAAAAGAACAAAGGCTCATCTCATCTAGATGACCCCCAAGACTTTTGGGATAACATTCTGTGGACTGATGAGTCAAAGGTGGAACTTTGTGGAAGACATGGGTCCCGTTACATCTTGCGTAAAGCTAATACAGCATTCCACCATAAGAACATCATACCAGCAGTCAAACATGGTGGTGGTAGTGTGATGGTCTGGTGCTGCTTTGCCTCTGTAGGAAGGAAGACTTGTCATAATTGAGGAACCATGAATGGCAATGATCTGAAGCACACAAGCAAGTCCACCTCTGAATGGCTCAAAAGAAACAAAATCAAGGTTTTGGAGTGGCCGAGTCAAAGTCCTGACTTGAATCCCATTGAGATACTGTGGCAAGACCTTAAACTGGCAGTTCATGCTCAAACACCCTATAATGTAGCCAAATTAAAAGAATTCTGCAAAGAACAGCAGAACAAAATTCCTCCTCAGCGATGTAAAAGTCTCAACTCAAGTTATTGCAAACGACTGATTGCAGTTGTTTCTGCCAAGGGTGGCACAACCACTTATTAGGTTTTGGGGGGCAATTACTTTTTCATATGGGTGATCAAGGTTTTGAATAAATCTTCTTCAGTAAATTAAGTGATCATTTAAAAGCTGCATTTTGTGTTCACTTTTGTCTTTATCTTATATTAGTGGGATGATCTGAAACATTTAATTGTGACATAATTAGCAAAAATAGAAGAAATCGGATTAATGCAACTGCAGTGAAGTGCATGGTGTGGCTGCTTTTTGGAAACTTAGACCAATACAGGAAAAAAATATGTACCCATGGATTTTCTCTCTTTCTCTATTATCTTTGTTTTTATAGAAAACTGGAGACGACCTTTAATCCTTAACCTTTAATTGTGTGAGACGTTATTAAGCTGAAATTATCACACAGTGACAAGTTTACCAAAAAAGAAAAGATTTGTACCACCAGATGGCCAAACTGACTACTGACACAGCTGGAGCCCAACAGATGATACAATAGGCTGTAAAATAACAGGCTAATCTCTACAGTAAATAGGTTACAACAAACCATGCTGTTCGTGTATTTTCTGGACTTTTTTCTTTTTTACATTTTCTGTGATGCTAAAGAATCACATTAAATGTGTGCCGTTTTGAGGTTGTTACTTTATTATTTCGCCAGATGGCGACAGAGTGACGCATTAGCTGTTTCAGCAGCGGCGAGTCTGGATTATTAGCTCTCCAGGAAAAATGATCAGTGTGTTAGGAAAATCAATTCTGTTTTCCAAGTAATAGTTCACTGTAAACACTTAATAGTAAATTATGAATATGTTTATATATGTAAGAACATTAAAATAGCTGTGTAATTGTAGTCGACGACAGTGTTTGAAGACATTAAAGGTATTAAAATGTTCTTACAATAAGGCTAGGACGTTCTATTTTCCTTGGCTGAATCTCAAGTTATTCCATATTCCCTATACAACGACTTCTAGGCCCAAATTTATGTTCACTTCATGTCCAGGGGAGGTGGGCTTTACGTTTGCACTTTTTTTTTAGTTTTCCCCAATCTCAGCTACCTAGTGAGGTGATGTGTGAATGAGAGCATTGTCTAACAGTAACTGTTCTACAGCCACGGAGAGGACACGTTGTGAAAAAATTTCGTCTTAAAATCAGCTGCGGCAGAGTTGTTTACCTCTACCACGTGGCTCTGGTGACGTGGACGGCTCCTGCGCGCTCCCGCGGCGAAGTTGGCGGCAGCATGCACTGTCAAAAAATAAAATAAAATAAAATAAAATAATGAATACATAAAATAAAACATACATAGAAATAAAATTTACATATGAATACATAATAAAAATAAAACAAAAAAAAGCAAACAAACAGAATGTTCTTCGTTCCTCTGCTCCACCGTGATTGGCTCCTCCGCAGAGCTTCGGCGCGGCCGGTTGGCCGCGGATGCGCCTCGCTGATTCTGATTGGTCGGAAAGCTTCTGTGGGCGTGGCCTCCGCGCTCCTCCGCTAACATGTCTGGAGCGCTGATGCAGCTCGTTATCAAAACAAACGACCTACAAAAACAGCCTGAATCAGAGTGAGGAGGTCTGCAGAGCGACTATCTGTGGTTTCAGCGTGGGAATGAATTAAACTGCAGCTTCTTAATCACCGTCGACCGCTTTAGGTTTTCAAGTGCGTTGAATGAGGCTTCAGCTTTTACATCATTTGATGTGTTGGTGTTGCTAAATATATCAATTTCTTGTATGGTGGCGGCGCTCGGCTCCATTTTGGAGACTACACCGCTCTCTCCTAAAGGCTGGTTTATCGGGCTATGAGCAAGTTAGGCGATCTTTTTGCAGTTGTTGATGGACGTCCGGGCTCAGCGGTGGGCGATTTTGTCTTTGCTTGCGTTTTGAATGAGGACAGAGAGTGCCAACGCCAGTGAGAGGAGAGGAGAGCACATCTCCAGCATCTCCAGCGGCAACAGCAGCATCAGCAGCCAGCTGCATCTG